TCATTATTTAAAAGAAAAGAATATATTCATTAATATTAAAATTTAATATTATCATTTAATTACAAGTTATCTTGCATAATAAATTTAAATTTATACATATCTAACGTAGAAGCTTATTTTTTTAAAAAAAAAAGAGAAAAAACGGTTATGTACTGGCGCTTAATATTTGTTTTTAGTGTTATAAGTTTTATTTAACAAAAATTAAATAATTATTGGATACATTACACATTTATATTGTGGTATATTGTATTGATTATATATTAATAGTTAATCTTGTTAATATAAAAAGATATATCATATTATAATATTATACTAATGATTAGTTTTAATTTAAAATATTTGGTGATTAGTAGGTGGTGAAAAAAAAAACAGTTTTAGAATTATGGTTAAATATAGCTTTAAAAAACTTTATAATTTTTTTTAAAATGTTATTATTAGACTATTTAAAGGGAATGTCCACTAATTCTAAAAACAATTTTTTGAGATGTTATTGTAAGATCTGTGAAAGGTATTAATCATCAATGAAATTATTATAGTAGAAACGATTACTTAATCAAAATAAAGAGTATGTTTCACAAACCTCTTTGATGTATAATATATGTCAATATAAAGTCATAATTTTCTCATAAAACTCTATATATAATATTTCGGAGGCATATATGAAAGGAAGGTTTCTCATATATATTAAATGTATGCCGAAAAGTTAGAAAAACTTCAACTTATTAGAGCTTAGTTCATTCAAAACATGGAGAGAACTCATGTTTATATACCCTTGTTAAGTTAGATTCCTAACATAAGGAGCAGCATACCCTCGTGTTAAGAGTGAACTTTATTATCTAAACAACTTTTTTTAAAAAAATTCGGAAAGAAATTGATATTTGATACTTAATTTTAGAGAAATAATAGTATATAGTTTGAAGAGACTTATTATATTTATCATAGAGAAACATGTTAATCGTTTAAGAAAATCTTGTTTTTGAAGTTTAACGTAACGTTTAAACTAAATGATTAATCATTTATGATATATGATAAATGTGTTAAACACTACCTTTAAAGATGACCAAATAATATGAGAATGTTTGATATCACAAGAGCACCTAAGGTATACATAAAAAGCGCTAAAAGCTATAGAGCTCCTAATAGAGCATCTAATCTTTGTAGCATTTGATAAAAGATGAAACATTTGAATAAAATTTTTGTTACATAAATAAACAACTTTACAACACTATTTGTGAAAAAGCTTCTAACCACCGCTAAGTAACTTAATCACTATTTGCGAAAAAGCTTTAAAACATTATTCAAACGCCCCCCCTCCCCTCCTCTCTCCCCCTTTCTAGTGTTCTCATATATTTCAGTTGGTATTAGAGTTAACCTTAAGGATTAGTTCTTAATAGATCACGAGGAAAATATCCTAATTGCTTGATGAAAAACGAAGGTTATATCGCAATCACACTCCTCTTTTAAGGGAGAAAAGTTCGATTATTATTATTACATTCTTTGAGTCCTGCCACATTGATATGTGGGATGTTGTAGAAAGTGGAAACTATCCACCCTTAAATGAGAAGGGTGAGTCACTAGAAAGAAACAAATGATTTAATGATAAAAAAACACAAGTATCTTCTGAACTCCAAAGCTAGAAACTCTCTAATGTGTGTTCTTTCTGAAAAGGAGTACAAGAAGGTTCACGCCTTTAAAGGAACAAAGGAGATGTGAGATACCTTAGTCATCACTTATGAAGGATCAAGTGAAGTAAAAAGAAATAAGCCCAGTCTGCTGACCAAACAGTATGAGCTCTTCTTGATGCTGGACAATCAAAGCATAAAAGCAATTCAGTAGATTTCAAATGATCTTAAATGAGCTGAGATCGCGAGGTAAGATTTATGAAAAATTTGATAATACTAATAAAATTCTTCGCAACCTTCTTAGGCAATGGAAACTGCAAGTTACAACTCTAAGAACCTTAAAAAATCTTAATGGGAAGAACTTAGAGGAACTTATTAAAACACTTAAAGTCCACGAGCTAGAGCTTCAACAAGATGGTATGCTAAGAAAAGAAAAGAGAACAATTCTCAAAGCTCAAAAGCCTACAAGAAGGACACCAACAAAAACCTTTAAGGCTGAGGAACCCACAAATGAGTCTAACGAGGAAGAATACTCCAACAACAAAGAAAAGAAAGATGAACTATCGTTCATCTCAAGGAGAATCCACTCTATGTGGAAAAAGAAGAGAAACACTCCCTTCAGAACGAGACGTATCGAATCAACCTCGAGAAGGGATCCAAAGGAAAAAAAAGGAAAGAATGACCATAGTCCCTACGAGTACACGAGTGTGAGTTTCACTTCTTAGATGATCTTTTTGTTATTTGTTTGCTATCCTTCTTGATCTTCTTTCCAAGGTATCTTCTATTTATAGTCTTCACGAGAAAAGATTCGTTAGACAACGCTTGTCTTTAATCTTCAGATCTTCGTAGCCTTTTTGTAGGTAGCAACCATAGTTGAAGTCAACGTGTTAGAGCAAACATATTTTTTGTAGTACTTTAACCAAAGTAGGTTATACAAAATCTTTAGCACGACTTTTGATGGAGAGATAATTCCATGAATGTCTACTTTGTTTCTAACGTCCACTTCTGACTTGTTCATGATGGAGCAGGTGAATATGTGCAGTAGGCATCTGCATAAAGTAGAGTAGAGATGTATGATGACATATATGTTCTTTTTCTTATTACTTTTTTGTTTGAAACATTGTGCGTTTAATGCTTTGCATTGTGTGTTAAAAATAAATTGATGCTTGTCAATTTTTCTATACATGTAGATCATTTAAGCACTTTTGAAAAGATACCAATATTGATTCATACAAATTTTCATTCATTGGATAAAAACATTGTTTATATAAGGTATAATTTAACCTTTTAAAGAGTTTACTACAACTCATCGTTTAGGAATCTTTGTTTACTATAAGAATGCGTTTAGGAAATTGTTGTTCCACATTGTTTTTAAAGCATTGTTTATGAGCTTTAGCGTGTTTACTAAAACATCTGTAACACTTATTTGCATTTTTCAGTAAGGTATAGTAAAAGCGCGTTTAACAAAAATATCATGTAACATAATGATGCATTTTACTAAAATATCATTTAATGTAATGACCCTTCATAATAAATCACATTTAGTAATAACTCGTCTATGTGTCAATGAGATCGTTTGGGTCCTAGCGTGTTTCCTAAAAACTGTTTCTTGTTATTAGATGCCATAGCACTTGTTTCATAAGATGTCTTTCACTCAACGATATTATTTTCACAAAGATAATACTTTGTCAAATACTCATTTCGTTTATCATTGTTTGTTAAACTTCAAAATAGGAAGGTGTTAGACAGTTCTGTCTTATAAACGATCTTGTATTAACATCACATACATGTAGTCACCTTTTGATGGGTGTTAACACCAATTTAACCGAAAGGACCACATTGAATCTTTTAAAATAAATTAGACATTAGACTATGGACAAAAATTTTAAATAGTTTGTGTAATAAACTCAATAAATATTGAACCAAAATCCTAATCAAATCTTTATATTACATTTTTATTCTTATTCTAATATTTGATGTCCAAAACAAATGGAAAAAATTTATCTCCAAAAAACAATTTGATACTCAAGTCAATAAATAAAAGAATTGTAGGATCTATATGATTATGAAAATGTGACCGTACTCCTTAGAGAAATACCACATATATTTATAAGTTTTTTGTGTATTATGAAATTTGTTACAAAATCTAGAATATAAAAAATACGAAAAGATGAGAAAAACTAATATATATATATATATATTATATATTATATTTTTAATATATTATATATATATATATATATATATCTAATATTTATATATGATAAATCACTTTGATAATAACAATAATATATTATTTAATCATATAATAGATATAAAAAATGTTATTTATGATATGGATATATTGTATAGTTATACTATAAAAAATGCGGTAGCAAAATCAATAAATATGTTTGATATTATTACTTTAATCACTTTAGACTAATAATACGCAGTACTATTTCCAAATTCTAAGATGGGCTATTATGGATCTCCATCTAGAACACTCAAATAAGTTGAAAATAAAGTAGTTTTCTCTAATTTTTAAACTACTAAATTGTCTCAATTAAATCAAACCGAAGCATTAAAATGGGTGACCCAAAAATGACTGGTTCAGTTTAACCAAGTGCAAGAGGACCAACAAACCAAACTAAATTGATAAATTCATAGTTCGAATTATTATAAATTTCAGAGAAAAAAAGAAAGAAAAACCAGTACACTAATTTGATCCGGTGGACCAATGAGTCAAGTTGGAAAGAAAAAACATGATCCATGAGAAATTCAAACCAGTCTGTCTTGTTGGGTCCCTTTGCTCAATCAAATAAAACTATTTGACAACTTTCCTGGTAGAGTCACTCAACCAACTTTTAGGCTAGGATATGTTCTCGGGACAAGATATCCACCAAACAAAAACCACTTTCTATTATTTACAAGATATTTTTGTGTTTGCGGTGTTTCATTGAGTAGTAAATTTTGAACAGATGTGGACAGAGAAAAAAAAAAGTTAGGCTGCACAAAATATATTTGCAATTATCATATAGTAGACAAAGAAACATAAAAAAATTGTGGTATGGTACAAGAATATCTTTTGGCCATTGGTATCAACACTAGTTTCGTATCATGATTTCATCCGAACCTGAGAACATTCAATGTGTTGAGGGATTGGTCTCTCTTTTGTACCCATACTGATCCCGTGTCTTTTATGACCTCCTCTACCACTTCTGCCAATTTCATGACTTCTCCTTTTCGTAACTGTTACTTCTCTTTCACTCCATTGTACATTCACAAGTGACTGTGCCTTTTCTTTTTGTATCTCATTTTTAACCTTTTGGTTATATCGTATCAAGCGTTGAACTTTTTTAATAGGATATTACAAATATATATATATACCTTCGGACAAGGATTCGTAGGTGTCGGTGGAAAGGGTAAGCATCCTATGACATACCCGTTGGGATTTTTCTGATAACTTATCTGCCTCTTGTTTTTCATTCACCTCCAACTTCCATTGGTAGCTAGTTGGAGTTTTAAGAGTGCCTTTCTATTTTTAAGTCTTGTTCGTGCTATGTTCTGTCAGGTAGGAGCTGTTTTAGCAGTTTGCACTATCAACTTTTCCAATTAGTGTACTTGTCTTTTAACCTTTTTTTCTTCCATTTCAACTGTCGTCATTATATGTCTTAATATGTTGTCTGGTTCTTTTTAGAGTTATACACTGTTTGCATCTGCCATGAACACGGGTATTATTACCATTTTAACAGCATTCTTGTGACTGTTTGGAAAGACACCTAATTAATGTTGCCATGTTAAAGTATTCATTCTCCTCTTACGCAGATTTTTATTTGAGTTTTCTGTTTCCATTGTTTATTTATTTTCTCGATTCTTCATTCATGTTCGATAGTTCAGCATTATCAACCGAGTTTTGAATTTCACAAGAACACAAAAAAAGGAATGGGTATTGAGTACCGGATTTTATTGGTGGGTCTTCTTGCTTTCAGAATATTAACTGAACGAAGATCAGTGACGTGTGCTTGTTGATAAAGTACTTCAAATATATTTAGGATCCCATTCAATTAGATTTAAACACGTCTTTTTACTCTCTGAAGTCTTAACAATGTTGAGTTTTTTACTTTTAGGCAATTCAAAGCTAATTTCCGCTTCATCCGGTCAAAAGGTTAGCCATAAAGGATGAGCTTTCACAATGCTTCAAAAGATTGATAAGATGTCAGTAAAACTGTTCATTAACAGTGGAGTTTTTCTCGCTTACTTCAAATTATTTTAATGAGTGGAATGAACTTGAACTTGTAACCTGAACCCGTATTTGCTTCAGTCTTTCTTTTTTTTGCTGTTGTATTGAAACTTGAGACCAGATAGAGAACTAGTGTAGGAAAAGAAATTAGCTTTATTGATTGTTACAATTCAATAGCATGAAAATTTTCTCTTGGTTCGTGAATAGTACCTGAAATCATGAACCACAAGCCATGGCTTTGGAGGAAAAAATCTATGGAGAAAACAGTCTTTGCTGGGGACAAAGATGTCAGTCCTTCTAGACCCATCGAAGAAGAGGTACTCAGTTTACTCAATTTTGTATGTTGCTGTCTGTTTTCCTCGTTCGGTTATCTATCTATTCTCTTGTTTTCTAGTTCTCTGCCTATCATCAGAAACCGGTTATATTTCTACCTGCTTAGTCTTGCCAAAGTGTTGATACTGGATCTGAATTCATACAAAGAATTCTTGATCTGACACAGTAATATATTTTTTCAGGTACACAAACTCCCAGTAACTAAAGAATCTGGATCCGAAAGATCATCAATAAGTCTAAATGAGAAGTTGGCAACAGTCCTTCTTGATTCTCATTCTGGAGATGCCACCCTTCAGCAAACATGACCAAAAGTCTCAACAGGAAATGAGAGGTAACTTATTGTCACATTTTCCCCCACCTTCTTTTCCCACCATTACGGTGCTTAGTGATTTTTCTTTAATTAGTGTTTTCTGCTTATGCTCTCATCTTCCAATTTTTGGGCGTACGATTTTTTTATTCGATCTTTCAAATCTTTTGACAGAAAAAATAGGTAAGGACAAGACAAAACAGGAAGTAAAATGTGCTAAAGACTTGGATGAAAAAGCGTCTTCTGTGACTGTTTCTCCTGCAGATGCAACATTGAAGGAACCTTTGCAGCCACCAAGCTGTGTTCAAGAAGAAAAAGAGAAAAAGTTGTGTGGTGACATTCCAAAGATAGCAATAGAAGATAAGAAGATTCAGAAAGAATTGGAAGAGAAGTTGAGGAACACAAGTAAAAGGATAGATGACCTAACTGCCGAGAATACTCATCTTTCTAATGCCTTGCTAACCAAGGAAAAATCAATTGGGGACCTAGTAAAATGTAAGCAAGAAGCAGATGCTGAGTTTAGTACATTGATGACGAGATTAGACACCACAGAAAAGGAAAATTCTTTTCTAAGATATGAGTTTCACGTTCTGGAGAAGGAACTTGAGATCCGGAAAGAGGAGACTGACTATAGCCGTCAGTATGCAGATGCCTTCATTAAACAGTACCTTGAGTGTTCTCAGAAAGTGTCAAAGTTAGAAGCCGAGGTGTCAAAAACTCCGTCTTATGCTACAAAAAAGACCACCTGGTTCTGCTGGTATGGTGAATATGAAGAATGAAGTTGGAATGATGAGAAGAAGAAAGTCCAATTCCAACAGGGAATTGATCAACAAAAACAATGATTTTGGAAACTCTTCTGATGTATCTGAGAAAAGTTTGGCCTTAATGATCAGACGCTTGCAAGATCTGGATGAGGAGAACAAGGCTCTCAAGAGAATTTTAACCAAGAAAAATTCTGAACTGGAATCTTCTAGGCTTATGTATGCTGAAACAGCTTCCAGATTATCGCAGGCTGAGATTCTACTTAGAAAGGTTTCTGAAAATCAGAAGTGTATGGAGCTAGCTAGGTGTTATCCCACATCAAATGAACTTCCTTTGATGTCGAATTGTGACATTTATAGTGATGATGAGGCTATATCTCTGGATCCTGGGCGAATGCTCTTATTTCCAAACTTGAACATAAGAACTTCAGAGGCTAAAGTCGTAAGAGTAGTAAACCCACTGAAGTTTCAGACATGAGTTTCATGGATGACTTTGTTGAGATGGAAAAACGAGCTATAGTTTCTATTGATACACCTAAAAGACGATGCTTCTCTGATATAAGTGGTAGGGAGCTAGTGCCTGTTGAACAAGATCTTCTGGGCTTCAGTGAGAGGAAAAAGGAGATACAATTGAAATATACAACTGAAAAATCATTTGACTGGCTTCAGATTGTTTTGAATGCAATCTTAGAGGAGAAAAACATATCAAAACGAGGTCTTCATGAACTGTTTGATGACATAAAAATTGCTTTGGATTGCATGAATCACCCAACTGCTTGTCAACCTGACACAGAAGCAGAAAGCAGGCAACACTTAAGTTCTAATTTTAGAAAGTCAATCTACAGGATTATCAACCTCATTGAAGGTATTGCTCCCAAGCCATTTATGTGCAGCAATTGTTTAGATTGCTTGGGGGAGAATAAGCATTCAGACATATCCCAGTCATCAACACCCAAAGACTATTTTGTTCATGTTTTCCAATGGAAGGTAACAGACTTAAATCCTCTCCTGCACCAACTTGTTCACACCTGTAAGGATTTGTTAACAGGGAGAGCTGATTTTGAAAATTTCACTGAGGAAGTAGCATTTGCTTTGGACTGGAGCGTTAATAACTGTGCCACCTCCACAAATGCTGCAATTGCAAGGGATAGGATCAAGAAGCATTTTAGCAGCCATTTATCACAAAATGAAAATAAAATAGATGATGAAGATGAACAGGCTTCTCAATCAGCCTCTTATGCATATCAAGAAGATCAGTGTGAGCTCTTCAACACAAAGAATAGTCATTGTGATCTCCTTGATGATATTAGGAAGTTAAAAGATGATTTGAGGAATGCAAAATCTGCGAAGAAAGACTTGGAAGAAAAGCTGATGTCAGTAACAGATGAGAGTCAGAACTATGCAAAACAATATCACGGAGCACAGAATAACATCAAAAATTTAGAATCTGAAATAGAGACACTGAAAGATCAGATTGAGAAACAAAAAATCATAAATGAAGACCTTGATACACAGCTTACAATGGGTCAGGTTAAGTTAAATGACATTTTCCAAAAATTTTCGTCCTTAGAAGTTGAATTAGAGGATAAAAATAACTCCTGTGAGGAATTGGAAGCGACGTGTCTAGAACTTCAACTCCAATTGGAGAGGTAAAGATTCTATTAATTTCCTCTCATAAGTTTTATGATTTCCACTCCTACTACAATTTTCTTTAGCCATGCACAATGAATCTAACTTTCTGACTTTGAGAACATGAAAAAATATTACAGCATTGCAAAGAAGGAATCTCCAACATATGGCAGATACGAAGTAGAAAAGATATACCAAACTGTAAGTAGTTCAAAGCTCAGCTAATTGTAGATATATCATGTATGACTAGGACACTGTTATCATTGACTCTGGTGGGTTCTTTATGTTGCAAGGGCATGTATACTATTTGCATTATCATTTATCAATTTGAATCAGAAATGAATAACTATGCATATCTGTAATAAATAATGGATAGGTTGGAAACCTCAACTCATGATTCATTCATAAACAACAGAGATCAATTCTTGTACTCATGTTCATTTATGGAGAGTCAAATCTATCAACATTACCTGCATTTTCTTTTGAACTAAACACTCAAATAAATCTACAAAATAAATATGTAATTCAGGGCTGGGAGATCACAACAGCTTCATCAAAGTTGGCAGAGTGTCAAGAAACCATCTTGAACCTCGGGAAACAACTCAAGGCACTTGCTTCATCTAGTGAAGTAGCACTTTTTGACAAAGTTGTCTCCACAACCAGTACTGTGGCCAATCCAACCCAGAAGAAGAACTTGATCAAACGATCCTCTCTACGCAATCAAATGCAAGCTGAGGATGAAGCTAAAGGAATTATCCGTAAGTCTTTCCAAACCGAAGAAACTGGCAGAGAAAAAGATGCGCAGATGCCACCTCTTCTTCAATCTGAAACCGAAAAATCTCTGCAAAGTCCTAATGACTTAGTTCATTCTCCAGCAACAAGCCTCACTTCAGAGAAAAATGATAGAAGCAAAGGCACAGGATCAATGGCAATTGTGCCAGGTAAAAAGAAAGTAGGCTTTGGTTTGCTGAGAAAGCTGCTGTCAAGAAGAAACAAAGGGAGGGCTAAGGGAACCAAGTTATTAGCCAAAGATTAACTAAGAAGGATCTTGTATAGAATATCAAGACGTGGTTATGTTTTTGTCTTTTGATAGATTCTAATGCAACATGTTTGATTCGATATGATTGAGGTCGCGAGTTGAGACCCAAAGACTGAGAGCAAAGGTTTGGTAATGTAAATATAGCTGATGTACATATTCATTGGCATTTGAGGTTAAGCCACTCGAGTTTGGAATGTTTTCTGTTTGCTTTTATTATAAGATGATATTGCTTTTCATTTTAAGGCTTAATTAACTTCACATTTTATAAATTTGGAAACTTTCTATTTGAATTTAACAAATTTTGATTTAATAAGATTATATTTTTAAAATAAATACCTTCTATTTAGTTTTTTAATTAACCCTTTTTAGTGTATGAGATAATTGTTACCGTATTATATCGGTTTCATGAGTTGAGTTTATTATTTTTAAATTTTATGATCTATAATTTTAAAATTATATATTTTATTATTTTACAATTATTAAGAGAATTTTTTTATAAGATTACAATATTATAAGATTAGAACATTATAATATTATAAAATTATACAATTCTAAAATTATAAATTTATAAAACTAAAAAATAATAAATTATAATATTATAAAATCATAAAATTATAAATTTATAAAATTATAAAATCATAAAATTATAAAATTATAGAATTATAGACTTATATAATTATACAATTATACAATTACATAATTATAAAATTATAAAATTATAAAATTATAAAATTATAAAATGAGACGGAGTTTGTCTAGATTCTTAGAGTTCATCTTAGGAGTTCATGTTTACATTCTTGTAATTTGTTTGGGAGTGTTTTGTTCTAATAAAATATTTCTGAGCATTGTTTATTTGTTGTTTATACAACTTTATTTTATTTACAGCTTTATCTGTTTTTAATGTTATGTGCGTTTATACAATATTTTTCCGACTATCTTCATTAACCGCATGCAAAAGATAAAAATAGAAAACTATAAAACATATAAGATTTAAAAATAAAAGTGGAACTAAAAGAATTAATACATCGTTTAAATGTGTATATAAAGGAACATAGGATAAAAACGTAGAGTCAAAAGCCCAAAATAAACAAAACTAGAACGGGAACCCAAAACATAAAAAACATAGGAAAACAAGAAATAGGAAAACATTCAGGTTAGAACAACCAAACGCTTGACTAGATGATGTCTTGTCTAAAAGTGTGTGAGAGAGAAGTGAGCTAAATGCACTACTACATAAAAGACTTTTAACGTCTGTTATTTTGGACTTTTGACGTTTGATCTTGTCTCGACGTCATATTGGTGACGTCAATTGGATGTCAGATCCTTCATCGGATGTCAATAGACATCAAATCTCCCTCAACAGACGTCTAAATAGACGTTGGATCTTCCTTGGCAGACGTTTAGGTAGACGTCGAATCTCCCTCATCAAACGTCTAAATCGCTTGATTACCATGGACGAAGATGACGTCGGACAGTGCACTGACAGATGCCCACAAACGTCAGACATGCACTAACCGATGTCTACATTGTATTTTTTTTAAAAAATAATAATTTCTTTTTACAATAAAACCACACCTGAAAAACAGAAAATCATCCTAGTACATCATAATATAATATATTCTATGTGTTTCAAGTTAACACGATAGTAAACAATCTAAAAAACATTCCAAAACTTAAACTATCAAAACTTAAACTTAAACTAAAGCTAATTAATGTTCAACAACAATAAAAGTCTTCCTAAAGGCATGTGCATGAGTCCTAAGTCCATCTCTGCAGAAGATAAGTTACTCACTCTTGTCTTATCTTTTTAATTTTCTCTTCTGATATAGGAGATTTATTCTTGAAGCACTGCAAAATGAAGAAAAATTCATTATGTTTACATATGTTCAAAGCTGAATTTGATTTTTGTAATGTATTGAAGGTAAGCATCATTACCTCAGTCTAGTCATCTGTAATGCCAGCTCCAATGATGGTTTTAATCTAAGACATGACATAGTAGCCACATTCCCATGAATCTAGCTGCTTGTTACACTAAAATGACAAACTAAATATCAAACATTTAGATCATATCAATAAACATAGAAAATGAATAAGAACTATAAATTACTTATAACCTTTGGATCCAGATTTGAATTAGCTGACCTCGGGTTTAGGCCATACCTCTATTTACATTGAAACACAGTGTATATTAATATAACTATATTCATCATAAAAATTTAAGGTCAACATGAATTTGAAACATATAAAGAGAAACACTTACCCTGCAAGCATGTGTTTCAAACCTTTTTTCATCCTCCAGTGCAACAAACAAAACCATAGAATTTTGTATTGTTTGGGAATGATGACCATCGGTTGCTAGTGAGACCTATCATGAATCATAAATAGTTAGTAAATTAATTAAGTAAACTTTTATGAAATTTTACATTTTGCAACCCATACCCATCAATGTATGGCACAAGATATATGTCTCTATTTGACTCAAGTATCCATGTTTGCAAATAATTTTGTTTGCTCTCAACTGTGTTACCAGAAGGTTGAATGGTATGAGGTTCAACAAATCCGTACATGGAAGACCGACCTTGGTCCACAATGACTGTGTCCATGTACCTATGACAACAAAGTTAAGTTATTAGAAACTAACAATCTAAATATAACTAATATGGAAGACAAATTGACTATCTTACATGCACCATAAGTTAAGGATTGAATATAACATCCTATCTCCCTCATGACCTATAGTGCATCACTCAATGTGATATATACTGACACATGGGCATTGGAAGCCAAATACTTCCTCAAATCTAGTACAATTATAGTGGTCCTTTGGACAACTTGGGTAATTTTGTGATGAGCTTTGTAAGAGGATCATCCTCTACTTCAGCCATGTCATCATCTTCATCTATGACTGGCTCATGCATGGGCTGTTTATGAGGACATATGAACTGAAATTAAAATTTTCGAAGTTATCAATCAATATTTATAAATTTAACATATAAATACTAATAATAGAAATATAATACATGTGGTGTAGCAATGTGTGCATGATCACTGCTTTAAGTCCAGGCTATAAATAGTTTCCTATGGCCTCCCTCACAAAATGAATTTCTGAAGTCGGTACAAACACCTGAGCTTGGGGATCACGAACTTCGCCAATCGTCACACGTACGTGGTGGGGTAATAAGGGAGCACCATGAATAGTCTGCCTTTCCTCACGTACTCGTCTAACACCCACAACGCATGGAGGATCCCCATCAACCAACAACTCATACTGATCACTATACTCACTAGGGTCTACAACAGAGCATGATCCTCTTGTGCTCACTCGAGGTGCTGTTGGAGCTTTAGTGGGCAACCCCATGGTGCCTTGGGTCATGGAATGCAACTTCTCTCTAAGTGCTCTTTGGATTTCTTTTGTTCTTGGTAGTTGCTGCTCATAGATCTCATGCTTTGGTTGAGCCTTTCCTCCTACTGAAGATCCATCTTTCTCAGTGCCTCTTTACTCATGGATTCAGTGCTTTTTTGTGTAAGGCCAAAGTAGTCACGAAGACCAATCGTCCCACCAACCATACATACACGGTCGAGGTGCTTGGGCTTTCCAAGGACCGTTGTTAGAATGTCGTCCCTACCTTGACCAACAAATGAACACTGAGTTTGGTGTTCAACCAACTCATCTTGCATGTAACAAATAACTTTGTTACATAAAACACATGGGATGCACAATCAATTAATGTTTAGAATTTGTACTTATAATTCTTTGTAAGATCAAGACAACTGAAGAGGATGTCATGTTCTCATCAGACTTAGTCCAACCTTCCACATCTCGTACCTAGCAAGTGTAGGTGTTAGGTCGAGGGACTCAAGTCCTAAGGCTTTTACTCGACTCTTTCTTATCTTCCTCTCAAGTAATGCGTAACCACCTCATGATAACACGTGCGATGCATCATTTAGCCTTTGTCTTTCTTGCACGACTAACTTTTTATCCTAACAAACTATGTATATTCGTAAGTATAAAATCATAATTTAATGCATTATCTCACTATATAAATATAGAAATATGTTAAGAATTATAAAGAAAAGTGTATTTTGCATTTAAACTTATATTAAAATTATAAAGAAACATACTTACAAAAACTTAAATTTCATTCATTTTATAATTTATTGGTTACAACGTAAAAGGTAGTTATATGTTTTATAACATTTAAGTACTTCCTTGTGATCGGTAATGTTTATAAATCCATAAACTTACTTACATTCAAAATAAAGAAAAATAATAATAATAATAATAAAACACAATTACTTTTTATATTATTTTATAACAAGATAATTGCGTACCTATTTGTCATGATCTGACCCATCAACAAATAGTATGTCATCTTCTCCCAGCATCTAGCTCTTATTGACAGTTGGATCCAGCATAAAGGCATACATCTCCAATGTTTTTGTTGTTGATATGGTTCAGAAGTTCATCTAGCTACACATTTTATATGGCATTAGTGTGGATAAAAATATTCAAATATAGTTTTATAACTATAAATTTTTTAATGCCTCCCATTCAGTACTTTAAAAGTATTTTTATATATGCACATGTATATTATTGCTTGGAAAAGTACTTCAACATTAAAAATAAAGAACAGTAAATATTATATTAAATATAGAGGTTTGTAAACTTACAATTATTTAGTTTTCAAATATTAATAAATTAAAACTATAATGATCTTAAACGCTAAAATGTATGAAAAAGTAGTAATACAAATTCCTGATAGTTGCTTGATGATTTTGACAATTTTGTTACTTTCATTACCTCACGACTTGATCTATACAATGTTGGTGAGATTCAGACCCTCTTTCTTGCACCAGAAGAGAAATTTGAGAAAAGAAAGTATGTTCGGATCTCTTGATTCAAAGTGACATTCTTCAAACTCGCGATGTGGCCGTGGTGATTCTAGAGGCGACTTCAAAGGGGCAAATTCAATTCTAGAGCAGGTTAAGGGAATTTTGGTGCAAGAATTTTGATGAAAAGGAAGTTCGAATGCTCATAATACATGGAATTAAGTCATCTTACTTGTTAGATTTATAGAATAGATATAATCAACATTATCGCAATCAACCTCAAGGTTTTTGTTTTTTGTTTTTTTTCTCAATTTCATCAACTCTGTTGTTGCCTCTAATGAATTCCACTATTCTTTGGTAACCTAATTTTGGTGCACCTCACTGTATTACTCGTGATCATTCCAATCTTTTTGTGAAGA